TTCGATATCGAATATGTTATATTTTTGGATTTGCTATCCCCACGAATTCGTCTCGCATATTTGGCTAGGTGTTATTTTAGCGCGAGTCGAAATTGTCGTCGAATTTTTTTTTTTTTTTTTGAGAACGATGGAGATTGGACTCGTCGAGTGGAAAATTTAACGAAAGTTCGAGCGTGTTATGCGGGATTTGATCAATGCTTGGAGGAGGGATAAAGAAATAGATTGAACGGAAAAGAGTTAAAGGGAAGTTAAATAGGATGTTGTTCCATTGTAAATATTCGATTACCATCTCGAGGAACGCGAGCATGCAATCTTCGACGTAGCTGTCACGCAAAAGCGAAATTACGAGGATCACGGAATCTTTGGTTTTTCTCTACTTTCTACCAACGTTTTATCATCGCTTTAATTTAATGCCAGGATAATGTCAAATGAAATCGATTTCCCTCGATTCCCCACTTGTCCAATATATAAATTTGAAACACTCGAGTTGAAGAATTTTCGAAACGTGTTTTCGAGGTGAGCTGTCTCTCGAAACGAATCATATTATTTGAAGAGTTTCACGGAGGCAATCGAGCTCCTGATGAAGCGTGTTAGTCCGATTTGACGCACTTTCGCGAAAAGTTCGGATGCTTTGAAGAATCCTGTTACCCGGCGACGAAGAGAAAGTCTCTGTTTCGTTAGATTTATGAACGCGTCTCGATTAAATTGCGATATATAAAAGATTGGTAGAGGAATTTTTTGATTGACTTTTTTTTTGAAATTATCGTGCCAGAAATAATAAAATTGTACGATTTGTTCACACGTGTGTAGAAAAGAATTCGACGAAAGAATACAATTCTTAACGATACTCGAAAGCTGGAAATAAATTAAATATATCACGCCATCGCGTATGTTCACGTATAAAGAGAAATATGGTAAGAAATAATTCAATATTTTCGCCCTAGGAAGAGTCGAATAGAAATTAATCTGGACGTTCAATCGCAGAAACTTAGCCCCATGCTGATCAATAAAACACTATGAAAGAAACCAGTTCCAATAACATCACCCTCAATGAAATCGAAAAATGATTTATTTCTTAAACAAAAATAATCCAACACACTAGCTATAATATTAATTTTAAACCATTAAAATTAATTATTTCTAAAAAGTTAAAATCCTGAAAATTTGGCTTCCACAATTTCACAAAAATTTATCCAAACTATAAAAACATTACCAATTCCATCAACACTGATTATTCACTTTCTAAAAAAATAATCATAAATTTTGGCGTTCAAAAATCATTTCTTCCATAGGATTCAAACAATCCATTTTTTTTTTCTCTTCTAACTCGTTTTCAACCTTCCACAAAAATTTACACGCCTAGAAAGGAAACGGCGAATGAACGAGGAAAAAAAAAAACAAAATAGAACACGAAAGAAGAAGGAAAAAAAGAGACAAAAAAAAGGTCGATGCGTTTTTGGATCCGGCCGTTGTGACGAAAATCGGGGCGGACGATTCTCTCGGGTCGTGGGGCATCGCACGGGGTGCGACGCACAGGTGGCGTTGAAGAGGACGGTGCAACCGACGCCACTCGCCACCGGAAGCAGGTGGTTCCAGCCACGCACCGCCGGCTTCCCGCTCACGCGTTCCGCAGCTCGAGCGCGCAGACTCTTTCGAGTCGAGCCTATCTTTAAACCGCGATTTACAACCGGCTCCGCGATGAACGGCCGCGTGAACGATTCGCGATTTATTCACCGCGGAAACTGTATCGAGCAACCGTTCCTCGCGATTACTTAACGCGAGGCCGAGACTCGATTTATTCCACGCAACGTGGATTAGATAATGGAGGGATGGATTCTAATGATCGATGAAGCCAGTTTGAAGATTCGTTTTCAGAATCTTTTAATTATTATTGAAACAAAAAGTTGGGATAGTAATATTTTATTTTAACTTGATTAATCGTTTAAAGGAAACGGCGTTGTAATCTTTGATATAATTGAAGAAGTTTGTCGAATTTTTCCTGAGTTTGAAAATATAAGGAAGAATTAGTTAACTTGCGATAACGTGGATTAGATAATAGAGTCGGTGAATGAATGGATTCGATCATTTTGAAAGGAGTTTGAAGATTTTTTTTGGCTATTTCATAGAATTTTTCGTTTTCAGAATCTTTTGATTATTATTGAAAGAAAAAGTTGGGATAGTAATATTTTATTTCAACTTAACTAATTGTTATTTTAAAGGAAATGATGTGTTTGATATAATTGAGGAAGTTAATGTTTTTCCATGTTTGACGAATTTTTCCTGAGTTTGAAAATAGGAAAAGGAAGAATTAGTTAACTTGCGATAACGTGGATAAGATAATAGAGTCGCGATAAATTTTGGTAAATTTCGATCGATTGCATTGAAGACAGTTTAAATATTTTGAACAAGCCATCCAGGAATTTTTTAGTAATAGAAACAAAATAATCAAGATTGTAATATTTTATTTTACTTGACAATTTTAAAGGAAACGATGTGTTTGATACAAAGAAGAAGTTAATCGTGTTTATCTCATTTGTCAAAGTTTTCCTCAAAGTTTGAGGAAAATATAAAGAAAAATTAGTTAGCTTGTGAATTAGATAATAAAATAAAGGTGGGGTGAATTGTGATAATCGATCGAAGCTACTTTGAACATTTTTCTGGCTCTATCTCATAGAATTTTTCACTACAAAATCTTTCGATGATAGAAACAAAAAAATCGAGGTAATATTTTATTCTATCTCGAGAATTGTTATTTTAAAAAAAAAAAACTTTTAAAAGATGCGTTTGATGTCTCGATATCGAACAAGTTAATCGTATTTTCGTTTACGCGATTTGTCGAAGTTTTCCTGAGTTTGAGGAAAATACAAGGAAGAATTAGTTAGCTCGCGATAACCAACAGACAGAACAAATACGCGTATCAAGAAACTTATCGCTTAAATACGCGTTCTCTTAAACAAATTCCTCAAACTATGCATCGCTTTACCCTACTTTCCTCTCTCTTCTCATTGTTAAATTTCGTACTTTGCCCCGTGCTTTATCAAGAAGATGGAAATCAAAGAGAGGAAACGGTCGCGTTTCCTCTGGCGAGGATAGGCGAGTTTCGAGAGGATTCTATTGTCGAGGAGGGCGATAAGGCAGGAAACGGGAGCGAGGGATCGGGTCGCGAAACGTGAGAATCTTCCTGCGGACGAGCGTGCAACCATCTCGTCTCCATCGTGTTCGCAGTGTTCGTGAGAAACGAGGCGATCCTCGTTTCGTTTCGTCAAACTGAACCGTCAACAAAAACCGATTCCCTTTGTTTCAGCGAAAGTGAAAACCGTGCGAAACCGAATCGTTCGTGGGGGGGGGCCAACGAACCGAGAGAGCTTATCCTTCGTGGTGGTCCCCCTTTTTTTTGCGGTCGATGAGTTTTTGTACGTGTAATAATCCTCGATCGAAAGGATAACATTGTCTTCGTTTGAAGTACCGTTCAAAGTGTTTTGCAATTTAGATCACCCCGTTCTAAAATATATTCGAGATTATTCCTCCTTGCGTTAATTTCTTGCTTTACGAGTTTTCTGGTTAAACGATTACCAAGTTAATTATTGTAACGCAGCGTTATGCTTTGTACAACTTGTATAGAAATGTATATACGTGACGTTCGGGGAGTTGAAATTAGAGTTATATTTTATTAAAAAGAAGGATTTATCTTAATTGTCTTAATTAAGTCAAATCGCGAGATAAATTTCTAATTGCAATGAAATGTCTAATAGCAAGAAAGTGAAAAGGATCTCGAATTAAGATGTTTCTAGAGCTATTTCGTATAAAGAAAAAGTAGTTCGAATCACGATGCATCGTGAGCCGAAAGAAACGAATTATTCGATTTTCGCAGCGAGGAAGATAGTCGATTCAAAATTGTGTTCCGTTTCTTTGCGAACGAGTAATGAAAGAGAACCATCCGTTACATCATTTGAAACCCAATGAAAATCCGGAAACAAACGAAAATCCTCGACACATAACCAAGTATGCGGGAAACGCGATTCGTATGCAACCGCATACGAGAAATTACAAAGAGAAATTTTCATATCCCTCGCATGCATTCCATTGCCGTCGACTGTAATTACACGATGCGTTGTTGCGTTGTATGTATGCAGTTTCAAATCCGCCACTTGCTCGATACTGCACATTTGGTATTCGTAGAAAACCGTTGCTGCATATAAATATAATACGCGATTTCAAGATTCATTTTCTTACAACGCGAATTTCCTGCCTTTTCTGCCTTTCGTTTCGTTTCGTTTCTCCTTTTTTTTTTCGTTTATGCTTTTCGTTAAAATTCGCGTCAGAGGATTATAACGGAGAGAAGCTCATTAGCGGAGACCCGTGCATTTGTTTAACAGATGTGCGAAGGTATTTGAGTGGAATAGCGGAGTCAAAAGTGAAGGAAGCATTTCTCTTTACGGTATTATTGTGTAGCAGGTCATTGGGCCATAGAGAATCGAAAGATGGCCGAGCGGATTTAGCGCGAGGAAATCAAATATGCGTGAAATTATCGGATCTCTTTCTTTCTCTCTCTCTCTTTCCCTCCCCCCTCCCCTTCTTTTTCCTCAATTCTTTCACCGTTGAAATTACAATCTCGATCGATCGCGATCGTGAAATATTTCTCTTTCTCTTATATCGAGGGATGATTGTCTGTTACACGATATAGCGGACGATCGTAAAGAAAGTCTTGGACGCTCGGTCTACTTTTTACAATTCGCCTTCGATTGCGCCAGTAAAATGCAAGAATGGGATTCAGTTATATTGCGTAAAAAGAAATCTATGCTTTTCAAAATTTATTGGCCTTTTCTCTTCAGATCGATAAATCTGAACAAAAAGAGCCAGAAGTAAAATTCTTTTTATTTTTGCTTCCTTTTGTCGTACCAATTTTCTTTTTTAAAAATTAAGAAAAGTAAGACGACGAGCGTTAATATTTCTTTTTTCTAAAACTTATCTTTAGAGCAAAAGAGCAAAAAATGTCTCACCGTTCTCCGTGCGTTCCTGCTTATCGAAAGTTTTGCTCGGTCTGGTGGATCGTTTCAGGGTTGCCTCGAAGTCGCCCACGACGTCGCTGAGGTCGAGGGCCGGTGATTCCTGCGTTTGCGTGTATCCTCGCCTATCGTGGCCTATCGTCGAAGAGGACGTCACGCCATTCGCGGGCCCAGGTTCCTGCGGTATTTTCGGCAGTTCGGCCTCTATTCCAACGAGGGCTGGACTCACCTAGGATTAAAAATACCGACAGATTTACGACACCGAGCTTCGTCCATAGGTGTCCATCTCTCGACGCCGTTTATTACACGCTTGTCTTTTTTCTTCTCTCTCTCTCTCTCTTTCGTCGAACGTTTCCAATTTTCGAAAGAGAGATATTCGAAATATTCGTATTCTGGAAACGATTGAAAACGAAGCGGAGTCGAGAGGATTCGTTTAATTATGGAACGAACGGATCAATTTACCAGGCCAAGAAGAACCTCCATCGACTGGCATTGCCTTCGACGTTCCCTTTTCTTGCGCCTCTCGATGCTGGACCTGTCCCCGGCACTTCCCGCTGCAACCGCCTCGCAGTATCGCACGAAGTCCAGGTCGATGTGGTACCCGTAAGGGCAGCAAAGGCACTTCGAGCCTGTTGAACCGGAAACGTAGGCCTGCGTCCCCACTGGAAGGGAAAAGTATAATTATCTCGATCGTTTAAACCTTATTTAAAAAAGAAAAGAGAAGAAAAGAAAAAAAAGGAGGTACCACGCTCGATGGTATAAATCACGTTTATAGCATCGAGATCAAAACAGTTAGATAAATTGCAGAACCCAGACGCGATCCAAACGGCAATTATTTCAATTCTTCCCAAGCAATCAGAGCATCAAGTATAATAAACCGCTCTTCCACCAATGATTTTAATTAAACCCATAAACCAGCACCCCAATTAAGCCCGGAAGAAAAAATGCGCTTCTTATCGAGCCATCTTTCAAAAAGAATCGCACCAACACTTGCGCCGATCCAAATTTGAACCAAATTTAATTCCAAAGTATTCTATCCATCCTTCTAATAGAATTGTTTTAAAAAGAATGCATCAAGATTCATTTTTACCAAATTTGGACCAAATTTAATCTCCAAATATAGGTTCTAGCATCCATTTTTTAACGAATAGAATTCGATCTTCTAATAGAATCATCTTTTAAAAGGAATGCACCAAGATTTATTTTAATCAAATTTGAACCAAATTTAATCTCAAAATATTGCCTCTAGTATTTATCTTTATAGACAGAATCGATTCTCATCGAACCATTTTTTAAAAAGAATGCACCAAGATCCATTTTTACCAGCATTTATCCTTTGGCGGATAGAATCGATTCTCAATCATCGAATCATCTGTTTGAAAAAAGAATGCACCAAGATTCATTTTTACCAAATTTGAACCAATTTAATCCAAAATTGACTCCAGCATTTATCCTTTGGCGGATAGAATCGATTCTCAATCATCGAATCATCTTTTTGAAAAAAGAATGCATCGAGGCTTACCATTTTTTACCAATTTGAACCAAAAAAATTTAATTCTCAAATTTATTGAGAAAAGAGAGGTGTGGCTGTTTCTTCGATCGATCGAATCGGAAAGGATCTATCTTTGGATAGATCGATCGTGGTTCATCGCGAGAGGCTGATTGTCGGAGGGTAACGACCGACGCGAAGCGTAAACCGAAATATGTTGTAACCATTGGCGGGCATCCAGAGGCACGGTAATAATAATCTGGCAAAGTTCGTTAGCCGGGAACAGCGTGGGGATCCCATTTACGTGTCATATTGGCCCGTTCACGCTATCGCGATGTGGCAATGACTTAATGAACCACTGTTATCGAAACTGGCGCGATCTCCCTTATTACCGTTTTTCTCAATTTTCCTTCAATTTTCTTCTTTCCATTCTCCTCACATTTTCTTCTTCTTTTTTTCCTTGGATAATCATCCAAAGATTAGATCGATATAAGAAATCTTCGTGAAATCATTTAATTTCAAAGAAAATCTCCAGCTGTTTATGATCGAACGATTTGTTTGTTTCTTCTCAAGATGGTTCAAGGTTCGGTGATTCGAAGATTTTTATTACACTTATTTATAACGAGGCGATAATAGAAAGTAACGGGCCGTTTTATCTCCGATTAATCGCAATATAGATAGGCGATCATAAATTTCTTTCCTTTCGTGCGATTTTCAAAATAAATATGAAGTGTTTATTCAGATAGGCAGGTTTGGATTATTATTATTATTATTATTATTAATTATTAAAGATACGATTATTGCGTTACTCACCGTTTCCATTGAAAACGCGGGCCGAGGGTACGACGGTCAAAGCCATTTTTCTTCCACCAACTCTTCCCCGATGTTATCCGCTTCACCACTGTTCCTCGCAGTCTGGCATCCTCACCATTCTGAAATCAAACAACGTTCGTTAACTCTTCGCCACCTGATAATCGATCCCCTCCACTTCGAACGATCGATCTTTTTGTTCCCTCAATAATCAAGTGAAAAATGATTTTCAGGAATAATTTCAGAAATCGGGGAAGAGAGAACGGAAAAAATTATTATTCCCGTTTATTATTTAAACACGCTCGGCCTGTCTTATTGCAAAGCATTTAGATTTATCGCAAAGCGGCGATACGGCATTGTTCCCCGAACCAAGATTCTCAGTACCGCGTAATTTCATTAACGCGACTCACTTGCTACGCTCCACCCATTATCTATCGGCAGAATCGCGCCAAACGTTAAAATTCCCCTCTCCCTTTCCTTTCGAGGGACCTTCGACCCTCGCTCCTCTTCCTCCAACCGGCGAAAATCTCTCAGGGCTCGCTTTCTAATAAAGCGGCAAGGAATCCGCAAAGGGGTGGTGTGCGCGCAGAATCAATTAGTTTCGAGGAATTCTTCAGCTTGGCCGCTATAATTGAGAGGGGGGAAAAAAGGAAGGAAGAATGATAAAGGAAAAGCAAAGAGATGAACCGTGACGAGCTTAACTCTAGACCAATAAACGTTCGTCTAATAGTCTTCTTCTTTCTAGATCTTTCTAAGCAAGTTTTCCTTAAACTTCGAAGAAGAAACTTCGCGTTGACTGATAACTTGTGTCGAGGATATGACTTTAAGACCAAGTTCCATCGAAAGAAATATCGCGGATATTTTGAATATTGGGAGGAAACGGTTCAAACAACGAATTCAAATAACACGAGAACGAGAAAATATACGTGTGCAACTTATTTATTTTTTTCAATCAAAAACTATTCTACATTTGACAGAAACACGTGGAAAATAAAAAATTAATTATAAATCGTTCTAATAACCCGAATTCGTACAACGCAATTTCACTTAGAAAATTACAAAAATTAATTTAATAAGCTCTCCTATTTTTTAATCGATGACCAATAAACAAGTTTTGCTTTGCTCGTTAATAAATAAAGGCGATCTACTGTTAAGTAAAGAGAGGATGGAAGAGATAAAGGAGAGGATCGAGGTGTCCTCTAACCGCGTTGGTGGCCGAGGAGAGGTTTAAGCGTAATTTCCACGGTGTCCCCTCGCGTGGCTAATTCCGTATCCCGGATTTCTGCTCTGACGGCAACACGTCCTCCACCGTCGACTCCGTGAACTTTAATTGTTCGAGCTATCGTCCAGCTTGCCGCGGATATTTTTACTATCGTTTCCGGTAGAAGATTCTCGGACGATGATTTGCCCGGCTCTCGGGAATTCATCTGATGACTGTGCAACCCGGTCATTTCGTTTTCGTCGTATATTTTCCACGTGTCGTCTATTGTAGAGACGATAATTTAGGTAATTCTTTGTTTTCGTTTTTTTTTTCCATTGTTCCAGAAATTCACCCGATGATTCCTTTTACGTGTCAAGTGATTTTAACTCTTTGCATTCATAGTCGCCATCCCACATTTCATTATTATACGTATATTTACTGATCTATAATATAATTACATTCTAGGGACTTTTATCACTTGATTGGTAACTTTCTTAAAAATAAATAGTGCAAATTAATTTAATTTTCTACATCAATCTATTTAACACGATGCACAAATACCTAGATGAAGCTAGATTCGAACACGTTTGTATATTTTATCGTTTTGTTGACTAACTTTTGTAAATTAATTTCAAAGATATAGAAATTATCGATGATTTAATAAAATGATCCAATAATAACGAGGATGGTTAATTAAAAAAATTTAGATTGCAAATAACGAATTGGAGGGTAGGGTTCATTCCGTTAGGGGGATTGTTTCGAAATTCTCCAGGCCCTTTTTAATCCTTGGCCTGGAAACTTTGCGCCGCGCGTACGTGATACATTTACCAAGGCACCGTTCCAAGAACAATTAGGATTCAAGCCGCGATCGGCTCGAGGTCGTAGAGGACCGGGCGGAATAGAGGATCTTAGAGGCGAACACGTAACAACGCATTTCCTCCTTTCCTCGCCAGCCAGCCTCGTTAATTTTTAATGAGGCGTCACGTCCTCCACGCACAAGAAAATTCGACGCCCGATTGATAAAAGAATCGTAACTGCTGCTAAAATATTTATTCCAATTACGTATTTTTCCGTTTACCAGAGTTCTTCTCCTCCAGAGAGTGGAAAAATCTGCTCTCAGACTCGTGGTATTCCTTTCACGAGTTAGGGCCACTTCTTCGAAGAAATGGAAACTTGCGGCTCGTTGCGTATGGAGGTTGATGCAACGACGAGACGTTGTATCAACGGGATCTTCGCGGAGAGTAGACGTTTTTTTGATTTTTACGAAGAGAATTGAATTTAAGAGGAATTCGATATACGAGAATCGGCTCGTGATTGAAATAAATTACGAAACAAAGCGAGCAATGTTGCGAGGAATTTATCCAATCTTTTTTTTTTTTTTTTTTGTGGAGAAAGTTGATTAATTACCTCGAAGATATCAAGAGTGAGACGAGATATTATTTAATATATTGTAACATACGAGAACAATTGGAATTATAACAATTTGACGATGGTTGAAAAAAGTTTTTTCAAGCTCGTTCGATGTTTACCGATGACACCGTTGCGTTATCGTTACGTTTCAATGGAAAAACGGTGGCAATCGTTATCTTGGTAGATTGGCGATGTAACAACAACTTGTTTGTAAGAGGATTTATTTCGATAAACGAAAATGGTCTGTGAATATTTACCACACGGGTACGCCTCGCGTCGAATTTCGGGCTCCGTGGATGGAAAACGAAATCTCTTTCACCCGAATCCTTTGAAAGTGGCGGGTATTGAAATTCAAACAACGGATACGATCGTGCGTGTGCAACGCCGATTCCTCGACGACTGATCGCTTTTGGCCGTGTACTGCCGCCTTTATCTATTCTATTATCGATAATTTTCACCGATAAAGCTTTCTACCTATATTACACCTATTTCGTTAATTATTACTCATCGATGAATTCAATTAATATTAATCATCGACGATGATTGGACGAAAATTTGAAAGTTGAATAAATTTTTTTTTTTAAATTTTTTCAAAAAAAAAAAACAATTACACAAATACAACGTTTCGTTTAATTTATTCGTGCACATTTTTTTCATTAACTCTTCGCGTGACCAGTGATGACAGTCAAATGAAATGACGCGTTACATTAAACAGTTCATGATATTACTCGCTCACGTCATATTCGTGTTTCAAAAAAGATAACAGACGATACGAAAATAAATTAATTGGATTTTTAAACGTTCAAACGAAACTCTCTTCAAAAAGATATACACGTTCCTAAAACCTGTTCGATCGAGCAAATCGTGATACAATTAAATTCCATTAAATAATAACCTTGCTCTATCATCGATATCAATTCTCGTGAATGCTACGTCAAATCCGTAATATTTTCGATTACTTCCTCCAAACGTTTAATCTTTGTCACGAAACACCCTCGAAATACGACAACAAATTCCTCGCGCCAAACTTTCGAGGCATCGACTTTCCAATCGTACGCGACGAACTACAAAGATGCACTTACGCGACTCCGTTCACGATTGCCGTGAAATTGCGAAGGGACGTGTAACAAAGCAGGCGACTCACGTATACGCACGCAGGAAAAAGCACCCAGAGGACCGTCTCCTCGTCGAATGGAAAGCCTAATTTCAGGAAACAGGGCAAAAGGTTCCCCCGACGAAATTCGTCTGAAGTTCACGCTCGACGAAGGAGGTCCGCGAATGTGAAATTGGCACACGGCTCTGCCTGCCAGTTCTCGAACACGGATCGATACGCCGGTTTAACCGATAAGCCGACCAGCTGATAGCATCGAGAGAGAGTGTGTGTACGGCGTGTGTACGGTGTCACTTTCACACGTGATGCTTCTCTTCGATCGGTTTTCTGAACGAGTGTTAACACTTTCGTTATTGGTGAATCGATTTTGTCTCGATTTGCTCTCGATCCCCTTGAATTTATCGCAATAGTTATTGATAAATAGTTGTTAAAGAAAAGTGATGTTGAAAATTTAGAATGCAAAGATGTACAAAGATATAGAAGAAAAGAAATAAATGTTATTATTTTGAAGGTTCTATTCGAAATTGTGTCAATCATAATGGAGGAAATATTATTGGTATATGTATAATTAATGAAAATGACGGTACGCTTTGTACGTTATGTAAATTATATGTTTATCAACGTAGCGTTTCACACGAGCATCTAATGATAGTTCTTTTTTTTTTTTTTCAGATGGATGTATTAGATGCGAGTAAAAAATTGTTTGCGGATAATTTATACATCAACGATTGCTGAAACATTCATATTGCGGGTTTTCATGGCTAAGGTAAAATCAGACGGACACTATGATAAACTTAGTAAAACGGTATATTTGAATATTGATGCTTGAGCAATTTATTTTTACTGATTAATAAACATATACACATTTGTTGTTATTGCTTTTCTATATTTTTCTAGAAGCCAGGCAATTTATTTTAAATTAAAAAGCTTTCCTTTCAATTTCTCGTAAAAGCTCTCGTAAAAAACTCGACGTAAATCCGCCATAAAGAAAATTTCCCTCTTTCTCTGTTTCTTCGAAATCATGAAACTTATGAATAAATATCAAACTAGTATCATCAAAGAAAGAAAATTTCTTTTTCTTTTTTTTGAAACGTATTTTTCGTTCTTTTCGAAAATAGAATGCATTCTTTCGAAGGAAATTTCCTATATCGTAAAAAAACGAAAACGAAATAAATAAAGATATCTCGACTGATATCGTGTGATCTATAAAGCTCTGTAAGATCAAGATTTGTTGCTTGACAAAGATTACCAACAACATTTATCGCTCAAAATATTTCAAAATAACTTACTTTAACTCAAACTGTTATTACCATCTATGATCCAATGATATCAATTGCAAATTAAAGAGAACAACTGCGATGCACATTCCACGCAATATTACCGAATCATGCAGAGTCCAA